CGACTCCCACGTTCTCCCAGAAATGAGGCGGTGCCGCCTGCATTCCATGACAAAAAGATTTCGTTTCTTCGCCGTCCTTCAGGCACATCGAGGCACATAGCCGTATGGGAATCCTTCTGGAATGGAAAAAAACATGGTTCGTGGAGCTGCTAGCGTCTGTCCAACATCCGCCCTGTCCCGACACACACTCCCCCTCCCTCTCTGACGGGAAGGGCGGGTCCCCATTCTTTCTTTGGACATCTTCTCTCTCCTTAGCTTCCGGGCAAGAGCTTCGATGGAACCGGGCAGCGGGCAGCACTTCATGGCGTTCAATTTGGTGCCTTGATTGGCAATGAAGAGCGAACCCGATCCACCGCGATGGGGTGGATTATTGGTCATGAGTCCACCTGTGGTTCCTGCGGTCACGCTACAATGTGAAGTCTCCTCAAGGTCCAGTATTATTTTAACCTCCGTGGGGACATGTATCCGTCCTAGACTAGAACTAACTTAGATCCCGTTCTTTGTCCCACAACCCGGCAACCTGGACTTGAATACATCATAGTCATTATATATATCTTCGTTGTTCCCGTTCCCAGCCTCTGGCGTCTTCTCAAGATAAAACGTCATTTTCTTGCCTAAAAGCGCCATCACCAAACTCAAACTCAAGCCAGGACACTAATAACTTCTACAAGATGCCTGCTGTAGGAGAGATAGCCGTGGTTCCGTACGGCACCCTGCCTGGTCTCTGGACGACCAAGGGCAAAGGCAACAAGCCCCCAGGGGGGCTCAACATTATCGACATTCGCCGTGTCGAAGTTGAAACGAACATCAAGGCGGACATCCTCGACCAGTTCAACCCCGCCGATGGCCCCAGGAAACTCCCCACACTGCTCCTCTACGACGAGAGGGGTTTGCAATTATTCGAAAAGGTCGGTTACTCCGCTTGAGCTGCAGCTGGTACCCAAGCCACTAACCGAGCCCCAGATCACATACTTGGACGAGTATTACCTTACCAATGACGAGATCGAGATCCTCAAGTCTTCCGCTGCAGACATTGTCAAGGGAATTTCCTCGGGATCGATGCTCATTGAGCTGGGAAGTGGGTAAGTTGCAACCAGGAGGCATGGAAAATATAAAATTTGGATGTCATTGCTGATAGAAGCGCTCAGCAACCTCCGGAAAGTCAACTACCTCCTACAGGCTCTCGAGGATGCCGGCAAAGACATTGACTACTACGCATTGGACCTATCACGGCAAGAACTCGAGCGGACTCTTGCTCAGCTTCCCACTTACCACCATGTCCACGCCTACGGCCTTTTGGGGACCTATGACGACGGACGGGAGTGGCTCAAGGACCCATCCAATACCTCAAGACGCAAATGCATCTTGAGCCTCGGTTCGAGTATTGGTGAGTTCATTTGTGCCCGACCCCTCGGTTGCCAGCGCCTGACGTAGCTTTTATCAGGAAATTTTGACCGGAGCGATGCGGGCTCCTTTCTCAAATCCTTTGCCGATGTCCTTGGTCATGGTGACACCATTTTGATTGGAGTGGACGCCTGCAACGACTCTGGCAAGGTCTAGTAAGTCGAAATCTCAGTTTTCCACCCTTGGCCACGAATATTCACTGACCGCAATCACAGTCATGCTTATAACGGTATGTGTCACTGCACTTGGTGTCTTCGTTGTGCTGACTTTAATCTTTTGCTATTTAGACAAAGAAGGCATCACGCATGAGTATGTACCACCCAAGGCCCTGCAGAGAACCATGCGAACCAATTCTCTGACAAATCCAGGTTCATTCTCAATGGTCTCCGTAACGCCAACAAGGTACTCGGAGAGACCGTATTTGAGGAGAGTGACTGGAGAGTCATTGGAGAGTATGTCTATGACGCCGAGGGAGGGCGCCACCAAGCCTTCTATGCCCCCTATCGTGACACCACAGTTATGGGTCAGCTTATTCGGCCACACGAGCGAATCAAAGTTGAGGAGAGCTTGAAGTGGTCCCCAGAGGAGACGCAGAAGCTCTGGGACACGGCTGGTATGACCGAGATTGGCAAGTGGATGCACGGCAATGAGTATGGTGAGTTGGCCCTGAACCCCTTTTACTGGATCGAAACTCGCACAACGGGATATTCCCCGTCCCAACGGCTCTAACTGGCTTCCGCAAGCTTCCCACCCCACGCTTTTTGTGACACGTGGGGCCAGTTAGTCGTACGAGATTTTCTCTTTCGTGATACATTATCATGACGCTGCTCATTATAGCGAGATTCGTTTATAACCCCCCCGAGTGGTGGTGTTGGGCTGCGGGGTTGACACCACCCAAGCCTCGGACATGCATTTCATGCACAGTACTAGACTGCATACGACTAACACAGCTTTTCTTCTCTGCAGGTCTTCATCTTCTCACCAAATCCAAGATGTCATTCAGCCTGATTTCCTCAGTATATGCCCGTGGGGCCCTGCCAACCGTGGAAGACTGGGAGGCACTGTGGGCTGCCTGGGATGTCGTTACTCGCGAGATGCTCCCTCACGAGGAGCTTCTGGAGAAGCCCATCAAGCTTCGTAATGCTTGCATTTTTTACCTGGGACATATCCCCACCTTCCTCGATATCCAGCTGAACAAGACCACCAAACAGCCACCTACCGAGCCGTCAAGCTACGCCCAGATCTTTGAGAGGGGTATTGACCCTGATGTTGACAATCCGGAGATGTGCCATGCACACTCGGAGATACCTGATCAGTGGCCTCCGGTGGACGAAATCCTAGCCTATCAAGCCCGTGTGCGGGGCAGAGTGCGGGATCTGTATGCAGGTGGCCCAGATAGTATTCCACGGCATGTGGGTCGGGCTGTCTGGGTGGGCTTCGAGCATGAGCTCATGCATATCGAGACGCTCCTCTACATGATGCTCCAGAGCAACAGGACCAAGCCGCCATCTCATATCCCAGTGCCAGATTTCGAGAAGCTCGCTCTCAAGGCGCGGTCAGAGAGAGTTCCCAATGAGTGGTTTACTATTCCTCAGCAGGAGATTGCTATCGGTTTGGATGACCCCGAAGATGGCACCGACAAAGATGTTCCCTATGGATGGTAAGACTTCTGCATGTTGAATGGGCCGTGGCTACTTTGGTACTGATGAATTATACAGGGACAACGAAAAGCCCGCAAGACAGGCCAAGGTTCACTCATTCCAAGCTCAGGGGCGACCAATTACAAATGAGGAGGTAAGCAGATTTGGAAACTTCATAATAAACTATCTCAGTGTTAACATACCTAACCCAGTACGCCCAATACATGTACAAAAATGACGTTGACAAGTTTCCGGCTTCTTGGGCGGAAAATGTTGTCTCTAACGGTACCAATGGACATCACGATCGCACGAACGGCCACACGGACGGCGCTTCGTCACTCCCCAAATCCTTTGTGGACAGCAAAGCCGTGCGAACGGTGTATGGCCTTATCCCCCTGAACCTCGCACTCGACTGGCCGGTTTTTGCCTCGTACGACGAACTCTCGGCGTGTGCGGCATGGATGGGAGGGCGGATACCTACATTTGAGGAAGCCAGGAGCATCTATGCCTACGCCGAGGAATTGAAGAAAAAGGAGGTGGAGAAGCATCTTGGAAAGACCGTGCCAGCTGTCAATGGGTAAACACACATACGTTACCAGTTCATCGCTCACAAGCTGACTCTGTGCAACTACAGTCATCTATGCAACGATGGTGTCGAGATCTCGCCCCCGGCCACCCCCACAACTGCCAACTCGGATGCCAATATCACCAAGCAGGACGATATGTTCATTGACTTGGACGGTGCCAATGTTGGCATGCATCACTGGCATCCTATGCCCGTGACGGGACGTGGCAATTCCCTGGCTGGTCAGGCAGAGATGGGCGGCGTGTGGGAGTGGACCAGCTCTGTGCTCCGCTCCTGGGAAGGATTCAAACCGCTTGAGCTGTATCCTGGGTACACCGCCGACTTTTTCGACGAGAAGCACAACATCGTGCTTGGCGGTTCGTGGGCTACTCATCCTCGCGTCGCTGGAAGGAAGAGCTTGTAAGTTCTGATACATAAAAGAGCCAAGGCGTTCAGTATGCTAACCAAGGCAACAGTGTCAACTGGTACCAACGCAACTACCCTTACGCCTGGGTTGGCGCCAGACTGGTACGTGATGCGAGCTGAATCTGGCTAAGCATATCTCTTCCCATCATTTTACATTGATTTCTATGGTCATCACTGTTCCAATGGTCTCGGTTGGGATCCGGCACACGGCACGGTCAAAAAAACAATTATTATTGATCTTCTCCCTGCTATTGTCTTTCGTATCTCGGAATGGGCACAAAAAGTCTCTCCTCGTTCTTCATCTGATTCTTGGTCTTGGTTGCGGTTTGGAAAAGGGGTTGGGCACTGGACTATCCAGCCTCCAACTCCCACAGTGTGTTTTACATAAAAAGAAAAAGAAAGAAAGAAATGACTGGAAAACAGCAGACAGACAAAAGGATAATGCTTCGGTTCTAAGGCGGGGGAGTTGATCAAAATTGTCATGAGTTTCTTTTGATGCTAGTTAGTATTGATCTTAATTCGATTTTTTTTTGATTTTTTTTTTGGAACACTGGCTTTTGTTTGATACAGATTCTTAGTTTGCCTACAGTTTACGTCGTCTCGTGTGGGACGTGAAGGTACAGTACGTACGTACGTACGTACAGTACATAAGAATAGCATCGCCATCAGGCCGAAAGTAAACCGCAACCAGACTCTTATGTGAAAAAAAAAAAAAAAATGAAAAAAAAGGATTTCTTGCTTACGGCCAATACTCTCAATTAATCTTCCCTTTCCTTTTTTTTTCCCCCAATGACATTTTTCGCTGAACCCTCCCTTTCAAATAAGGAAACATTTATCATCGTCAACTATCTAGGCAGCCCCCATGTCGCACGACGACAATTCCCGTCCCGTCGTCCTCAATCTCTCTCGGACTGACTTGAGCTCCAGCAAGGAAACAGCATCTCAACAACCCAATTAAGAAGGAAGGCAAGATGGCCGAGCGGTCTAAGGCGCCACGTTAAGGTATATTTCACCCTTAATCAACATCCAGAAATTTCAGGATTCCGTGGTCCGAAAGGGCGTGGGTTCGAATCCCACTCTTGTCACACAATCTTTTGAAACTTTTGGAAATTTCGCGGAGTCTAATTTCGTATCCTTTTGGAGTAAAGATTCCGGTTTTTTTTTTCTTTTTTCTTTTTTCTTTTTTCTTTTTTCTTTTTTCTTTTTTCTTTTTTCTTTTTTCTTTTTTCTTTTTTCTTTTTTCTTTTTTCTTTTT